TACTGACGGACATAGACCCGATAAGTTGATAGTATATCCAAGAGGAGTGGTTGGCCTTTAAATTTATACCAATTATATTGTCGTATGTACTCGAATGTGGGAGTTACACTTAAATATTTACAGGTGGTAACGTATTCAGATGAAGGACCTAAAAATTTAATTTTTTGTGTTTTATCGAGTCGATCTATAGGCCACAATTGAAAGAAGAACATCACAACACAATCCACGGTGAAGGGAATCTGGACAAGTAATTAGAAGGTAATTAGAATTAGAAGAAGAATATTTGTAATATGCAGAAAATATGTCAGTGTAAGGAAGAGGTGCTGTTGACCTCTAATCGGGCAACAGGATGTAGATATTATGAAATATTGCCCAGGCTTGGAATAATCATCCGCAGAATGTTACAGTTCTGTGGTTGTTGTGTAGGGTATCGTATGGTCGGCCCCGTGCGACTATACTGCTCCGCTCACTGGTTTGAAATTATATTCCGCATTTTTAACTCGATTCCTTGTGTGTACTTTTCGTCCGTAATTTATTGAAATGGACTCCAATTATAACAAGATGCGATATTTCTTTCTCGGTAATATTCCATCATTTCTCCGATTTTATCGAAATTTTCGACGACCGGACTACCGCTTGGCTTGCATTTTCACCTTTGTCAAAGAAAAAATATAAAATGTACCGAATTTTCTCTTTGTTCATTTCCATTTTTAATGCCCTGTAACTCAGAACAGAATGCACCAAACAAAAAACAGCAAAAAATTTTTTTACTGCGATTTTTTTACAGCCATCTGCAAAATAATAATGGATTTACTTTTCCCAACCTAATAATTCGAGTTTTTGCAAACACGTACAGAAAAGCCCCATTTTAATATAAACCTTTATATAACCTCGGTCTGTCATTTGGCTATCCAATATTATTGCAACCCAAAGAAAATAATTGCTTAGATAATACATTCGATTTTATCCAATGTGGGAGCACAAAAAAATATAAAAGTATTCCCATCGATTTCGGTTTTTATCAGATACTGTCTTTTAACATTAGTCATGTCAATATTCTCTTCCAAAATATTGTTTCCGCTTCAGTTGAGACCTTAACCATTTTATAAAATTAACATAAGTTAGCAAATCCACACACACGTAGATAATAGTTGATTCTATTCCATTAATCGATAACTGTGAATGCAGGCATAATCGATAACATGCAACCTAAAGCAATGTCACAAACCTATCGAAAATGAACACACTAACTATATTCGTTAGACATTTTCACACCAGATGGTGACAGTAGCCAACACAAAAATAACCAACTAGTGTGTCTAAATTATTTCAGTTAGAGGAGCAACATCTAAGATTTCAATGTATACATAAACTAATATCTAGCAGATATTTTCTCATTCTTGTAATTTTTTAACTAGAGCTAGGACCCTTTTCACATTGCAGTATTATAATTTTGTTACAAAATAACATAAACTTACCACTTAGACGGCTACTTGTTGCAATCGGATGATGATTTCTAATAAGAATGACATCGCATTGAGTAACACTTTGGATATCATCATTAGACTTTGTATTTTTTAATTAGTTTCATTAAATATGTTATTCACATTTTTTCGCCGATCACACTACATCAATAATTTATCTTTTATAAACCCCTCACACTCTCTCTCTCTCTGCAACTTTTGCATTTTATTTTATTAGCCATTCAACCACTTTCTCATCACTACAACATACTCCCGAAAATAAAAACAAACAAGAAAAAAAAACAACAAAACTAACGGCCAAGCGATATCTGTTGATTCGCACAAAAGCTCATAAACGACAAAGGAAACAACAACAAACACGATTGGCAATTCTTTTGACTAACGCACACACACGAATGCACATGCAAAGGGACAACAATGTCACTTGACATCACATTGGAAGGCAAAGAAGAAACACTGTTTTTAAACGAATTAAATACGGAAAACACTTTTATTTCACAATTATTTTATTCTATACCAATTATATTTCAATATTACACACTTTTTCAGCCATTTTTAACAAACAATGCAATACATTTAGCAAATTTCAACGTACGCACACAATTCGCGGCCGGCCGCTTCGTTAATTAATTGTCAACTGAAGACGAATGCAAATGAGAGTAACAGTGTTGTCAATGCTACGAATGTGGAGTATTGCAATTATGAGCAAAAAATCGCCGAAACTATTTGTAGACCATTAGAACTTCATCTATTTCACAAATTATTGGATATTTACAGTATTTCAAAAAAATAACTTGAAGAAAACAAAATTTCTTTCTAGTAATAAATAACGGAATAAATTGAAATACAAATATTAGTTAAATCATAAAAATTTCTTTAAAAACAAGTTTAGACAAAATAATATTTATTAATAAATTACAACCGAAAACACTTTTATTTCACTTTTATATTGTTCAATAATGATTATATTACAATAATGCGTACTTTTACTATAGAAAAACTAGACATATTTCAATAAATTACAATAATTACGTTTGACGAGTACAATTCTCGACCGTCCGTTGCTAAAATTAATTGTTAACTGAAAGAAGAGATAGTTGAGAGTGAAACAGTGTTGTCAATGCTACGAATGTGACAAAACAAAACTAAGTGATGTTTTTTAGCAGAGTTGCTTAAAAAGTTGAATGTTTAAACGCCGAGTAAACATTATGTGCATGAGTTTGTAGAATAGAAGAAATATTAAAATGACTATTATTAGGGCTGTCTGTGTACTTTTCCAGTAATATTTATTCAGTAAGTTATGTAAAAATGTAAAAAGACAAAATTTTGTACAAATTTGTTTTTTTTTTTGTACAATTTTTTCAATATTCAGTAATACAAAATTCAAAATAGTTATATTAATATGATACCTCTGCCACAAATAAATATATAATATCTGGGGAACGAAGGATACGATACGATCTAATATGTTTACTGGCATTATACAATGACCAAAAATGGTCAATCGGTGTACCCCTTCTAGTACCGCACCTAAGAAGAGTCCAAACTTTGAAAATTTTAAAATATCCTATAAGGCACACTAAATATTCAATATTAAATATTTTCGTTTTGCTACTTTCGTAGCGTTGACAACACTGTTTCACTCTCTATTGTCCCTTCCTTCAGTTGACAACTCATTCTAACAACGGGCTGTCGCGAATTTTACTCGTCAATCACAGTTTTATCAATCTATTGAATTATTTCTAGTTTTTCTATACAAAAAGTGTACAATACTAAAAGTTTATCATTATTGAACAATATAATCCTGAAATTAAAGTGCTTTCCTTTGAATTTAGTGAATAAAAAGTGTTTTTCTTCCAATTTGCAAGCATTTTGCATTGTTTATATTTCTTTGGCAATTTTTGTTGGTATGGAAAAATTCAAAAATTGAATTACATTTGCCTGAGTATATAAATTTTCTGTTTTAATTATAAGGAATATTTTATATTTAGATATTAAGCGAGAGAAAAAACATTTTTTAAGGATTTATATCGAAGAAATTCTCAATTTGTTTGTTAAAATCTAATTTCATTTTACAATTTTTTAACAAGGATATTTTTAATTCCGGTGCATTTAAATCACAAGAAATATAGTCCCAAAATGTGTTAGTAAAACGTTAATTATTTCCACAAAGTTTGGATTTCTTACTTGTTTTCTTTTTTACCAAATAAGGAACTTTTTCTTCAATAAAACTTGTTATTTAATTTACAGGCAAAATTCAAATAAATACAAAAAATTTCCGTTGCGTTTTATACACTCATATTTCCAACAGACTCATTTGGCTACTTTCGTAGCGTTGACAACACTGTTTCACTCTCAACTGTCTCTTCCTTCAGTTGACAATTAATTCTAACTACGGACGGTCGCGACTTCTACTCGTCAATCGTAATTCTTTTAATTTGTTGAAATGTTTCTATTTTTTCTAATTATTCAAATTCAAACATTATTAAACAATATAAAAGTGTCATAAAATTGTTTTCAGTTGTAATTTGTTGATAAAAAAGTGATTTGATTGCAAATCATTGGAATTGTTTATATTCCTGTGCCAATTATTTCGTCATTCGTGTTGTTGTGATGAGAGAAGAGAATATTTTCGCGTCGTGTTCGTTGCCGTTCGGGCGTTATGTTGTCGACTTAATTGTGATCCGTTTGTAATGTTAAATGAAAACAGAAACTAGTGCTGTTAACAAAATGTTCGTGTGAAAAAATGTTAATATACATTCGTGTAAATCACTGTTCACCAAACAGGCGCCCGTGGGCGCTTTGGGAGAGTACCAATAAAATCACAGTTCTGTGTTCGAACTCAACGTTATTCTCCACATCGAACATGTCGTATCCCGCTAGCAATGAAAATTCCAATTGATGGTATGTAACTAGTTCCAGCACTAGTTAGAAACCGTAAAAGTTACTTATTTGACCCTAAAGTAATGCAAGAGGAACCAATTGACTACCTTTTTATCCTATAGTAAGCGAGAAGGAGTCACTTGCGATATTAAACAAAAAAACTCAGTTTTATTTTTTCAAAAGAGAAGAGAAAATATTTAAACATTCTCTCCCAACAGCAACAAAAACTAGTATTTTTGATGTTATGTAGCTAGTCTCAGCACTAGTTATATCGTACCAGTTACAAATTTGATCCTAAAGTAAGGTCAGCCGAACCAATTGACTACCTTTTTATCCTGTAGTAAACGAGAAGGAGTCTCTTGCGACCATAAAGAAAAAAAACACGGTTTTTGGTGGTTGGTCTGCATAAAAAATCCGCTATTCTTCATGAATGCAAGATGAATTTTGTTTGGAAATAACCAGTCTTTTTGTGATCGTCTTGAAGTGCGGTGGCATCAAATTGTGAAATATTAAAGAAAATCTGTATCATTTAAAACAAATGAATTTTTAACTCAAATGGAAGGATATATATGTAAGTACTTCTAAATATAATTTATTTCCTATTGAATAAATATTATTGTATTTTCCTTACAGATCAAGGTCATGACATCTACTATAAAACGTGAATTAATGACTCTGGAAAATGATGGAAAAGGGGATTACATTATCTTAGTAATTTTTGTAATGTTCTTTTTAGGTAAGATATTAGACACATATTTTCTCTTTTTTACTATAATATTATAATCATTGTTATTTATTTCCAGATTCAATACCTGTAACCGAAGGATCTGACACGACCGAAATTGCAGTATGAAAGTAGTACGGTTTTACTTATATGTATTTAAAAAAAAAATAAAAATTAAAATCCAATTAATAAATGAGTGTTTTATTGCTAATTTCATCATAAAAACGGTACTGAACTAGTTCTTACGGAACTAGAAAGGTGGGTAGTCTAATGTAACTAGTCTTTGACTGTAAACCTGTAACTAGTATAATACTAGCCCTCGAGTAAGCGAAGGAGTGTCAATTGGTTGCCTCCTATGACATCCCCATGTTAAAGTAAACAGTTAAATACATTGTAAAGGGGTGTAAAGTGGAACTAGTCACTGTAGAGCTGAGAATCGACGACTTTCTGATTACGAACTAGTTCCTCTTGCTAGCGGAAGTATTTTTATTGGTACTCTCGTTATGTGTGTGTGTGCCCACGGGCGCCTGTTTGGTGAACAGTGCTTTGATGTCATAAATGGTGTGGTTGTTTACATTACAAGTCATGTTATTCTTATTGGAGTTGTTTAGCAATGAATTGGAAATGAATGCTGCTTCAAATAAGGTAAATGTAAATGTTTCTAATATTAACCGTTGAATAAAAAAAAAATAAAAAATTGTCTTTAAAAAAGAGTTAAAAAACAGCGAATTATAAACTGTTTTTTAGTATTTTTTTGAGCCATATTTTATTTACTAATTTCTTCATAAGAAAAGGTTTTAAAAAATAAATGTTTTTAGTAAAACTGTTGAATTGGACATTATATTAAATACATACATATATTTTTCTCATTTTATTTTGTAGCGTTTTTATTATACCCTACCCTAATCCAAGACCCACCATTTAATACCTATCTGTCCTTTACATTCAGTAATCAAAGTAAAACAGTGGATATTCGTAAATTTTGTTCAGAAAAATCTTTTAGTACCCAAAATCTTAAAGAAATTAATATTATTTAGATTCTTAAGTCTTGAATCTTCGTATTTTTAGTTTCGGAAAAGTTTTTTTTTTTTTTTTGAAAATATTTGTTTCAGTTTCTTGTAAGTAATATATGGTTTGTAGTTATTTTCTGTACAGCCTATGTACGACGTTTGACATCCCCAAAGAAAATTTATGGCCCCTCCACGGGCCATTAATTTTCTTTTCAAATATTTATTTCTTCACTATTATTTCCCGGTATCCCAAATAAAAAACTAAAATTAATTAAAATTAAAAATTATCACCACTTTAAAGAAAAAAGACAAAATAATTTTTTTATAAATGATTTTTTTATTTTTTGTAAATGGTTTTCTTAAAATTTTTTAAACTTATAGGTTATACAATGTACACAGATATATGTATAGGTAATAATGTATTAACTCTTGTTTTTTTACATAATAACATTAAACATTAATTAGATCATATTTATATAAAAAATAAACAATTTGATATTTTTCCAGTTATTTTTCATCATTTACATAGATTTTTGTTTGTTTACACATGTATATATAAATAATATAGTATTTTTACTAATAGAAAAAATATACACATACATTTATATAGTACATTATATTCGATTATTGCAAATATAGTTCGTTTATTTTTGTTGTTTCTTTGCCAAAAATTAAAAGAAAAGTGAAAAGCTATTTCAAAACAAATATTCTTAAAGAAAAAAACATTCCAAATGAGGGATTATAGAACGGGGTGATGGGGGTTAGTTATTGCAATGGTGCCGAAATCGTAACGAAATCAGAATGTGTATTCTTAAAGGGCATTAATTAGAAATTGTGTAGAATTTCGGTAGTTTGGGTTGCAGTTTCAGTGTTTTTGTTAATTACACAAAAAATAATAATGGCACTCATGCTTGGTTTCCTTAACTTTTCTTCGTTTTGTTTTTATTTTAAATTTTAAGAATTTTTCATCGTTTGGGATTTGTATTTCCTGTGGAAATAAGTATTTAGTGGTTGTTTGGTGAAACCAATTCTGTTTTTCGTTTGAAATTTTCAAATTTTTATATATCGTTTTTTGAAGAATGTTGAACTTGAAATCTTTTTTGTTTTTGATTTTGTAATTTATTTATAGATAAAAACATAATAAAAAAAATTAAATGTCTACTTAAAATTTATAGGTTTAGTTTGTTTTGCATTTGTTTTTGTTGTTGTTTTTTCTTGTTGTTTTTTTTTTTTGTTTGTTTGTCATAATGAATATTAAAGTGAATCTTATTTGCTAAAGGTTATCACAGTTCGATTTTAATAACTAGAACTTAGAATCTAAAAAAAGAAAGTGCATAGAAAAAGAAAATAAAGGAGGAGAAGAAGAAAGACCTATTTAGGGTACCAACATGGTAGTTGGTACCAAAATTGCTTACTTGAAGAAGAAGAAGAAGAAAAGTTTTCGTTTGAAATTGTAACTTGATCGTAGATAGTTTTTCGAAATATTTTTGTTTATGCAACAATTTTGTTTAAGTGCGTGTAAGTACTTAATAGTAGCTATTTTGTGTGTTTGTATGTGTTTTTCTTTTTGGGTGGCTTTCTTTCTTCTATAATTTACAACAAGATATTAACTTTTGTTTTCAATAAATATTTACTTAGCGGCTAACTTAAATACGAAAATTATTTATATAAATATAAATGGAGGCACGTTTAAGGTTTGAATTCAATTGTTAATAAAAATTCCATGCAGTCGGAGTACCGCCAAGAGGAACCGCATCCATCCCCACTTGGCATTTTGTTTTTCCTTAATAAAAATTTGTTCTATTTACATTTAGGAAGATTGCTTTTTTGTTTGGAAAGACAATTTGTTTAAGGCACTTAATCGATTTTGTTTTGTTTAGTTCAGTTAAACCCTAGGGCAAGAATTTGTCGCTAACTATACTCAAAAAGGGTGGCAGTGGTGGCTTAACCTCGTAGTCCTAACCCCCCTCCTCTCCCGATTCCACATCGTATCATACCCTTGTTTCGTTTCTGTGCAAAGGCTGTAGCTCTCTTTGTGTATCGTTGTAGTATTCGTGATCGGAACTTGTGGGCTCGGATGGCGTTACAGGTATATCCAGCATTGTGGGTCCTGCATTTGGTGGCCGCATTACCATCACCGGAATACCCAAAGTCTGGGTGGGTATGGGTGCCTCTTGGCTGTTTAGATTTGCCGAGGTGTTGAGCAAATATTCAGGGTTGTCAACGCTAGCCGGCACCCCAATGAGATCCATGTAACCTCCAGGTGCCCCCGTCATGGCATTGCTAGTGGTTACATTGTTATTGTTAAGTGTGGTTTGTGAGCTAATTTGGCATGTGGGCATTAGGTAGTCATCCTCGTCCACTGGCAATTCCAAGCGTAAATCTCCCACACCCACCTCTCGGGCATTCGAATCGGTTTCATCACTTTCGTTGGACGAGTTCTTGTTCATGGGATCTTTGCAGTAGCGATTCAGTTTGGGCACATCCTCAGAACCTTCTTGGTTGTGGTTACCAGGTGCAGCCTTGGGTTGCAAATAATCATCTGGTTCCACCATGCCTTCACTGCCCTCAAAACTGGGTGCCAATTTGCGAATCAGATCCTTTTCATCTTGGCTGGTATAGGCTGGCAGGCGAGTGAACTTATCACCGGGTATGGCCAAATAACGGCCAGGGTCACGGGCAAATTCGGCAAATACATTGACCAACTGCTTGAATGATGGTCTCATCTCAGCATCCAAATGCCAGCACGACAACAGGGTGCAGTAAATATCCAGGGAACAGATTTCCGGTTGTTCCAATTTCAAACCAACTTCAATGAGATCAGGAATATCTTTGGCGGGGATATTTTCATGGGGTCTTTGGCCGAATGTCAACAATTCCCAGATGGTTACACCAAAGGCCCAGACATCCGATTTGCTGGTAAATACACGATGACGGATACATTCCAAGGCCAACCATTTGATGGGCATTTTACCTCCAGCAGCCTTATATTCATTCGAATCGTTGTTCAGAAGCTTGGCCAAACCGAAATCGGTAATCTTCACACAGGATGGAGTCTGGACAAGGACATTACGGGCGGCCAAATCACGATGGACCAAACGTTTCTCTTCCAAATATGACATACCCTTGGCAATTTGGGTGGACCAATTCAGCAAAGCCTTGGAACCGATTTTATCACGGTTATTACGCACATAATCCAAGAGACAGCCCAAGGGCATCAACTGGGTAATCAACATCATTTGGGAAGTCAAACAAACAGCCAATAGTTTCAAGAGATTGGGATGTTCCACGGAAGCCATGATATATGCCTCACGCAAAAACTCTTCACTTGACTCGGCTCCAGACGACTTTAACAACTCTTTAATGGCAACCGGAATCTTGACATTTTCACCCTCCGGCACCCAAACACCTTTGAAGACACGGCCAAAAGCTCCCATACCCAAGACACCACCTTTTCTCAGTTCAGCCTCTTTGACAATACGTAGCTTCGAAAGATTGGCTCCAATATTTGAGGGTCTTAAAGGTTCAGAATCTTCACATCCTGACAAGACCATGGTCATTTTAACAGCCTCTGTTTTGGCTTTGGTTTTCTGACGACACACATAGGTCACAACACTGAGGGTACCCAAGACCACGACCAAGGCCACAACTGCAACGATGAGGAAAATATAATTGTCCACAGCAGCCACAAGTTTTGAACCCTTCATAGGTACAGACGAACAATAGGTACCCAAATGAGGTGCCTGGTATATGACATGTGACAATTCCGGGGGACACTTGGAGGTACAATTGAAGATTGTGGAATTATCATAGGGATCACCATCGCCAAAGATTTTGAAACTACGGCAAGCCAGACATTCATCGGCACCAGGTCCAGTACAGCCCTTACACTCTGGATGACACATGAAACACTCACGATTCACTTCGTCGGCATAATGATCGGTGGGGCATTCATCGTCACATTGTTCGCCACGTTTGTATCCGGCACATTTTTGGCACACCTGTTCGTGGAAACCATAACCACTGCACAGCTCACAACGAGGATGACATTTGCGACAAATGGCTTTGCCAGCCAAAGGCTTGAGTTGTCCTTGTTCCTGGGGATTCACATATTCCCAGTAATAACCATCGGGACATTTATCATTCTTCAGCAGACAACGTTCGATGTCACCCTCGGAATTTATTATGGCCAAATGGCAAGTTTTACAGCCACCAGGACCAATGGTGTTATTAGGGCCCGTACAGCCTTCACAGGTGGGATGACAAGTGCGGCAGACACCATAATCGGAGAATTTATTATCGGGGCAGACAGTGACACAACGATTCTCATCTCTTACATGGACACATTCATCACAGTGTTCGGCATCGGGACCCGAACAGGTGCGACATTCTGGATGGCATTGTTTGCAGGTCTTGGCATCGAATTGATAAGCGCTGTAAATTACAAAGAGATAAAAATTAGTTTCTTGATCCAAGGGAATAGACTGAGGTGGATGGTTAAAACTTACTTTGTAATATTACGACAATCGGCTATGCAGGTGCCATTGAACTCAAAGTTTTTGCATTCCAAACATTGATCTGGACCAGAACCCCAACAACCTGATTTATTGCATTGATCCGAACAAACGAAGCCATCTTTTTCTGTAAAGTGAAGAGAGAGGAGAGAAGGATTGTTAGTATTATTTTTTAAGAGATGAAGTTGGGGGAATTCCAATACTCACTGCAATCTTCCCTGTTGCGATTCATTTCCACCACAAAACCATGTTCTCCAGATTTCTGCAGCTTCGTCCAATCGATGTCATTGACATAACAAATCTTATCATTGTGCTGTATGACCACGGATCCTGCATTGATTCTCTTCAGCGATTTCAATTCCAAACTTTGCAGAGACGACTTGACAATGGACAGAGAGGCGAAATAACTTTCCATCAGCTGGCGACCATGTATCACTTCTAAGTTACGGAAATACGAGAGATTTTTAAAATCCGGATGTACACCCTCAATATCCAAGTAGCCGGTAATTTCTTTGACTGTGGAAAACACCTCCATGCGATCAGGATGCATGGCAATGTAACGAGGACCCAGAGAATAGTTTTTGTAAATATCTTGGAAACCCGAAAAGGTTTGATCTAGAACCCGGATGGACCCCTCAATGACGGTACAACCCTTGTAGGAATCAATGTTGCCGGAATGGAGAACAGCACGACCAGGGCATGTTTTGGGACACGGACCATTACAGGGTATACATTCGCCATCTTTGGCCATTTTAAAGGCTGGACAGCTACGCACACAGGCACCATTATCTTTGAGCAGATGTTCCGGGCATTCCTTGACACAGGTGGCGCCATAGGCATATTTTCCCTCCGGATTGGCTTCCCAGAGATAATTGGTGGGATTGTATTTTTGCATGGGTGGACATTCTTCTTTGCAGACACCATCATCATAGAAATTCTTACAGGCAATGCATTCCTTCTGCGTGGGTCCTGTACAACCTCCGGCACAGAAAAGATGGCAACATTCACGTGGTCGGGGTCCAAAGCATCTACCCTGGGCACACTGTGGTGAACAATTGATTTTGCTGAATTTCTGGCAATTGTTGGGTCCTTCACCCCAACAGCCGCGTTCACAGGATTCATGACATTTGGGGCATTGTCGTTCGGGCAGGGTGAAATTGTAGACATAGTGGTACTTGAACTTGTCCGGGGGACCCGAGATGATTTCATTCCAATCCAAGGTCTTAATGTGACACAAATTGAAATTGTTGAAGAAACCCACGGAACCTTGTAAAATGTCACGCAGGGCAGGCATTTCCAACGAAAAGGTTTTCGAATAGGTCACAAACAGGGCGAATTGTTCATCCTGGACATTGAGATTGAAGAGGGTGCGGCCGCGTATGATTTGGAGTCTGTAATGAGAGAAAATTAATTTTTAAATGTTCAAGGGGTGTGTATCTGTGTGTGCGAAAACATACCTTGGAAACACAACTTGTCGTATATCCACATGACTGATAAGTATATAACCGGTAACCTCGCGTATATTTTCCAAAAAACTCAAATCCAAATTGGGATCCTGCAGCCAAGTCAATTCCAAATTACCATCAACATAGGTGCAATTATTGTAACGATCCCTTAGATTGCGATAATGGTGTTCACGATTTGATGGCACCGATAAACGTGATTTGGTACCAATACAAACTGCAAGAAGAAGAAAATAAGGAAATTATTAATAAAACATCATTAAAAATAGAAGAGGAGAAAAAAAAAACAAATCATGGTATTAAGTAAAAAGGCGCCTTTAGCTTCTTCCAAAATGTATGACCTTAAAAGGTTAGGCTACGCTTGGATGCTGCTTGATGATCATGACGACGACGTCGACGACGAAAATGATGATGATCATGTTGTGTTATTGTAGACCGGATTTATCTATGCAATTTTAGTTGTGGTAGTAAAATAATAGTTAGTTGTTGTTGGTTTTCTTGCTCAAATGCTAAATATGGTCAGAACTTCTGTTTTTTGTTTCGTTTGGTTTCTTTGGTTAAATGAAAACAAAGTGGTTGAGAGTTTCTTGCTCTCTCTCTCTTCACTCTTCCTAGATAAGAAAAAATAAAAACTACAATTCAGATAGAGCAATAGGTTTTTACAAAGATCAAAACAAATTGCTGGAGACTCAGAGAGCCAAGAGAGTTAATCCGATGTCTTCTCGCTGCTGTATGGGTGAGCAATTGTGTGGATTTCTTGACTTGGTGTTTTTATTTCAAAGAATTTAAGTTTTGCTTTTATTAGCTGCCATTAAATCTGGTTGTTAAGCTGTAAGATTTATGTATGTGTTTACTGTCAAATGTGTGTCTGTCTACTTTTTTCCATTTGACAATTGTCAGTTAAGAGAGTTTTGTAAGTTGTATGTTAACAAAAAAATAGGTGCAGCATTTGATTGTGCATTTTATTTTTTTTTCGATTTTGTTTTGCCATAATAACTTTCAAAAAGGAGAGTCTGTTGTGTCTCTGAGAAATGTGTAAAATAGAAAAAAATAATATTAATATGAATATTAATTTTTATTTTTTTTTCTTCTTGGAAATAAAACAAATTCAAATAAATGTCATTTTAATAGACTGTTCGCTAGAAATCGTGGAAGATTTCTGGCTTGAAAATTTTTGTCTTTGTTTACTAAATAAAACAAAAGATTTAGATTTTTTATAAAAGTTTTAGATTATTGCATATTTATATAAAACAAAACATTTAAACTGCATACATTACAGAATGGCTTCTGAAATCAATATAAACCTATTTTTAGGGTAAATATTTACAAAAATATGGAGTGTCCGTCTTAAGATACAAATACAGAGGATTTTTTCTATTTATAGGAATTGACTGTCTTTCAAGATTTTTGTTTGTGATTAACATTTCATCGTACTATTTTTCTTTGAAAACATGCCATGGTGCTTGTTGCTTAAGTCTTTTGTTATTTCACATAGGAATTTTACATTTTTTATTTCCTTTAATAAACACTGCTCTAAAATGTAATTTTGAAGCATAAATAAATTATTGTTCGTTTCTAATTTATTTTTATCTTGTTTTTTTAAATTATTTCCCTATTTTGAATTTTATTTTTGGTCAAATTTTGCACGCTTTTAAAAATCGTCATAATTGAAATTAATGATCTTGTATATTATATAGTATTATTTGAAATATTTTTCATTTTGTTTCAAAATTAATAGCTTCATATATTACCGACAACATGAGAGAAAGTTTATTTTTAACACATCTTGTATTTTCTCGAAAGAAAAAAATGAAACCAAAATATTTTGTCGAATCGCGTCCACCCACAAAATTTGTTAATCAAAAAAATTAATGACTTTTTTAATTTTATTTTTTTTGGCTTGATGTTCATGATAAAAGTAGGTGGTTGTTGCATTTACGTTTTTATAGGGGTTTCATCATAACGACAACAACAACGAACACCCTAAACCAAAATTCTAATTTATATGATTAATTAAAAATGCACTTTGCTACGGGTTTCCAAAAAATAGAAAACAAAACTGTAACAAAATATTACAAAGGTGGGTTAAAGTTATTTTTTATGAAGGTTTTTGGGGAGAGAGTGTGGCCAATGGTCACATCAACAACAAATTATGCATAACCACACGACCACGCCATCTCACAAAAAGGTGTAGGTACTACCTTAATAAAGTAGGCGTTTGTGAAGGGTACCACAACAACCATCAGAAAATTCCAAATTTATTTCACAAATCAAGCAAAGCAATATAAATTTCAATTAAGTCATTCGTTCAACTGAAACCGGTTAAATTTAATTATTACCTAGATTTGTAGATAAACCCTAGAAATCAATTCTAGGAATAGAGATCAATTTGAAGATGAAACCAGATGAAATGGGGTTAACGCTTTTTGTTGGTATGTTTGTGATGGCAACTTTTATTGTTTTCTTTGAACTACCGAAATTTAATACTTTTTTTGGCAAAAGGAATATTTTTTAAGAAACATAAATTGAATATTTTTTATTTAAAATGATTTGTATTTTTGTTTGTTTACGGTTTATTATTTCATGCACAGAATCCTTTAATTCTCTCTTTGCCACAATTTCAATACTAAATCAAGTTTGTGTGTTAAGTCTTCCGTTTATCCATTAAATAATTTGAATCGAGTTTGTTTCTTAAGTCTTTAGTATAATAGCAAAAAGAGAGAGAGAGAGAGAGAGAGAAGTAATTATACTGATAGCCAGTATGGATTAAGTTTGTTTCTTAAGTCTTTCATATTTCTCTCTCAGCCTGATAATATCCCTGAGATTTGCATCAAGTTTCCTTCTTAAGTCTTTATTAGTATTACTAGGAGTATATTGCTGTTAATTTATGAGAGCAGTAGGGTTATTTGATGAAATAAGACTTAGGAAATAAACTTGCATTAATTCACAATGACCATTACTCTTACACTCTGTACTGTAAATTTTTGTTCTCTTTGAGAGAGAATGCTTTTTAATGCATATTAAATTTGCATATCGTGTTTGTTTCTTAAGTCTTTTGTTACATATTATAAATTTATAGGAAAACATGGAAATTTAAATAATTTTATATATAAAAATAAAAATTAATGAAACTAAATTAAATATTTTAATGGAAAATTGTAAATTTTTTTTAAGAAAATAATTTCTTGTTTTTTCCATTCTTATAAAAAGGGGTTTCGTTGATTTTTTCCTGCTGTAAATCTCTACATTAAAGATAATTGTCAACGAATAAGTGGGCTGGACAAAGAAGAGATACATGAAACATGAAAGACTGATGCACACACACAAAGAAAAACTTAAGCAAATGAAAGAAATAATAATAAAAATAATGTTGGTGGTAAACAATAATTAGCATCCTACGCAAAAATCGAAAAATAAAAATACACACTTCACAACGAATTAAAGAAACAATAACAACAACAAAACAGCGACATGGCTCTCTCGCAGTATAATTTTCAATAATTTTTTATACTCAGAAATATATAATTTATTTGAAACAAAAAGCAAAACAAAAATAACAACTAAAATTACCACACATTTTTATTGTTGATGTTGTTGTTATTTGAAAAACAACAATAAATAAAATTAGTCAGCAACGGCCATTGATGAAGAAAACATAAAATTATAATTTTGTTTGTGTGTTAATTAGTCAAAGGTATGCAAATAAACGGAAACGGAAAGAGTAGGGCCATAGGGCTTTTTAGCAGCATCTTCATTAATTGATTGTATTTATATGATAGAAGGAAGGCGTTGGTTGCTTGGCATCTCCGTTATCAATGTTAGAAGTGGGTGTCATTTAGCCATATCGATAATGGTTATGAGTGGTTGGTATGGTATGGCGGATGACGCCCCGACAAAAGTGTGCCATCTGCCAAAAGAAATCATTAATGAAACACCCACATGAAAAAAGTATATAGGGTTTCTTTTTATAGAGTAGGGGATTTCCTAATATCATTCATCAAAACATTTTCGAAAAAATACCACCCATGTAAATGCATACAAAATGAGGGCCAAAAAGACCGGACTGAAAAAAAATAAAAATAATTATCGAAATAAGGGCCAGAAAAAATACCTTGGAATGGAGCTTAGAAAAAAAATTGAGGGAAATTCCAACATTGTTCAGCTCTAGAAAAACACTTTTGAAACATTTCAAAGCAGAAATTTATATTGAGTATATTATATTGATTTATATTATATAGAAAATACTTTTTGTGAGAATTTTTATTATTTTTTTAATAACAAAAATATATACAAAATATTTAATAGAAAATTAGTTGTATACAATTTCGCCTGTACCTTAATTGCCTTGAATATTTTTTGCCTTTATTATCTTTCATAAAAACGGCATTGTATGTTTCTTAACAATTTCAAATAGAATTCAAAGCATCTTCATTTTGTTTGTCAATTCACTTGAATTTTGACCAAAACTTTAATTGTATCCCAAACCAAAAATTGTCTCATTCCTTTGTTTTTGTTGCCCAACAACAAAATATTCCTTTTTGATCGGTATCGGCTTATTTGGAAATTATTGAATTTCTTGTTTTAACAAAATATTTCGGAATTCTTGTTTCATGTTCATCTTTGGCAGTTTGGCAGAGTATACAATGAGAAAAAAAAACGAATTCCAACAAAAATTCTGTTTATTTTCTCGCATTTTTTCTTGACAATCACACAATAAACTGCAGGAATAAAAAACCTTTTGCCAAAGACAAAAGGAACCGTCAGAGACACAACTAACTAAACTTAAAAGCAAAACACAAAGTAATTTTTGTTACTTCGATACAAAAAAGACCTTCCAGGATTCTATATAAGGCAAACAATTTTTATAATCATCATCGGCGTGGAAAAGGCCAATGAGAATAAAAAACAAACAGAAAAAACAAAAACTGCTTGGACACGACTTTAACATTAAATGCTGAGTATTACCAAGATTCCTTTTTACAATCGTTCTTTGGGTATTTGTTTTTTTTCTGATTTTTACAATAAAATCTCGTGACTTTTTGATTAATCGGAAAAATGTAAGAAACAACAAAAAATGGTAAAAGAATGCTGAAAAAAAAAATCGTTTGGCTTAAGGCTCTCCGCCTTGTAAATGTGTGTTCGCACTCATTATAAAACAAAAGACTTAAGCAACAAACATCCATTGGAGAAACACCAAACGAAAGACGCCACAAATTT